CTCTTTAAAAAAAAAAAAAAATCACTTTTGTACCTTTTCGGGAATCAACTTTCTGCTTTGTCATCTTTCTCTCTTCTCTATTTTCGCTCTAATTGCTCTGGATTTAAGTTACTTTATTTTAGCTTCTTGGGAGCATACTTACTGTCTTCTTTCATTTGTATTTAAGGTCATAAGTTTCCTGCTAAACACGGCCTTAACTCATCCCACAAGTTTTCTTATTTTCATTATCATTTCAACTTAAGACATTTAATTTTCCATTGTGATATCTTCTTTGGCCTGTGGGTTTTAGAAGTGTATTGCTTAATTTCTAGAACTTTGGGTATTTGTTAGTTATTTGTTTTAGTTCCGATTTACAGCTTAATTCTATTATGGTGAGAGAATATGACCCATCACATGATCAGTTTTGATAAATACTTCATGTATATTGAATAAGATTTTGCATTTGTTTTATACTATATTCTATATGTATCAAATGTGTTCATCATGTTTAAATTTATTTTACTTTTTAAATTTATTTATTTTTGTTGTTTTAGATATATATGATTGTAGAGTGCATATTGTACATTCATGGAGTATAATTTATTCTACTTAGGATTCCTTTCTTATGGTTGTACATGATATGAAGTTTTACTGTGGTATATTCATGTATGAACATAGGAAAGTTATGTCTGATTCATTCTACTGTCTTTCCTATTCTCATCCCCCCTCCAATGAACTTCTCTTTTCCCCTCTCCCCCTTATTGTGCCTAAGCATCCACATATCAGAGAAAATTTTTTGCCTTTGGTTTTTTGGTATTGGCTTATTTCACTTAGCATATTTCACTTAGCATGATAGCCTCCAGATCCATCCATTTATTAGCAAAAGTTATAAAGTCATTCTTTTTTTTTTACGGCTGAGTAATATTCCATTGTGTATATATACCACATTTTCTTTATATCCATTCATTTGTTGAAAGGCACCTGTGTTGGTTCCATACCTTAGCTATTGTGAATTCAGTTGCTATGGACACTGATGTGGCTGTGTCACTGTACTATGCTAATTGTAAGTCCCTGGTACATACTGAAGAAGAGGATAACTGGGTCAATGGTAGTTCCAAGTTTTCTGAGGAATCTCCATATTGCTTTCCAGAGTGGTTGGGCCAATTTGCAGTCCTGCCAGCAATATATGGATGTGCCTTTTCCCCCATGTCCTCGCCAACTTTTATTGTTAACTTTTATTCTTTTTTTAAATATATTTATTTTTTAGTGGTAGTTGGACACAGTACCTTTATTTATTTATTTTTATGTGGTGCTGAGGATCAAACCCAGGGCCTCGTACATGCTAGGCCAGCACTCTGCTGCTGAACCACAGTCCCAGCCCAGTTAACTTGTATTCTTGATCATTGTCATTCTGATTGGAGTGAGATGAAATTTCAGTGTAGTTTTAATTGCATTTCTCTAGTTGCTAGAGAAGTTGAACATTAAATGTCTTATATTCTTACTGATTTACTTATTTTATCAGTTTACTGAGATTAGATTTGTTAAAATCTTCCCCTGTTATAATGGATCTTCTTTATCTTTTTCTGTATTAGGTACAAATTTAGGATTATTATATCTTCCTGGTTGAGTTAACCTTTTACTATGAAATGTTGCTTATCATTTTTTTGTGAAATATCTTGTCTTTAGATCTTTGTAAAATGTTAGTAAAACTTTTTTCTTTTTTTCCAGGGCTGAGGATAGAACTCAGGGCCTTATGCTAGGCAAGCCCTTTACCACTGAACCACACCCACAGACTAAAAACTTTTTGGTTAGGGTTTGCATCTTAAACATTTCTTCCTGCTCAGTCTTTCAATACCCTTATATTTAAAGTATTCCTCTTATGAGTAGCATATAGTTAAATATTTTTAATTTAGCCTGTCTTGGTCCTTTTTTTTCTTTAATATTGGGGATTGAATCCTAGTGTACTCCTTCTGAGCTACACCCTCAGTTCTTTTTATTTATTTTATGACAGGATTTCACTGAATTGCCCAGGTCAGTCTCCTAAGTAGTTGGGATTATAGGCATGTACTACCACACCTGGCTCAGTCTTGTGTCATTTAATTGGAGTATTTAGTGTACGAACTTTTAATGTAATCACCCACATCTCAGTGTATCATATTATTATGAGTTCATTGTGCAATTTGTTTTCTATAGTCCATAGCCCTTTGGAGTCATACACATAGCTAACCCTTCCAGTACTTTGTTACTTCTTGCATTTTCATAGTTCCATGTGGGATTATTTTCTTTCATGCAAGTAGCTCCTTTTGGTGTTTTTAGTATAAATCTGCTGGCAGTACATTTTCTATTTTTGTCTGAAAACATCTTTATTTCATTGCATTTTAAAATTTTAAGCATTTTTTTGCAGAGTATAGAATTATAGATTGGAAGTTATTTTTATTAATAATTCAAATATATCATTGTTTATAGGTCCAATTAGTCTTATTTTTTGAATATGTCTTTTTTTCCCCCCTCAGACTTTATGATTTTATTTGATTTTCAGCAGTTTTATATCATGTTAGACATTGTTTTCTTTATTCTGCTTAATGTTTGTAGAATTTAACTCATTAGTTGACATTTTTTATCCATTTTGGAAAATTTGGCTACTATCTCTTCATATAATGTGTTTACCTCATTCTTTCTTCTGTTTCTTCTTGGACTCCCATGGTATGGTTGGTTGGTTTTGTTGTTTCTGTGACCTATATCTTTACTGATTTTTCTAATTCATTTTTTTTCCACATTTGTTTTAATCAGGTTACGAACTTTTATCTGTTTTGTTTCCTTTATCACTTTTTCTTACTATTTAGTTGGCTTTTACCTCTATTAAATTCCTTATTTCTGTTACTATATTTTTTTGTTCTAAGATTACCATCTGATTTATATGTAAGATTTTTAAAATTTTATACACACACACAGTCAGAGATTCCAGTCTTTGGTATGTGTTCTCCATCTTTTAACATATTTTACTGGCTGTACCTGGTAACTCAGATAGCAGCATCCCTTGAATCTGTTTCTGTTATCTTCTTTTTCCTCATGATTTTCAGTCATCTGTTTCTCTTTTTCCAGTATCCCTGGCAATATTTTGATTGAGTTTTTTTCTGGCAGGCAGATAGCCTATGGATAGATCACCTTGATCTAGTTGAGGTCTAGTTTCCATTTGCCCTTCCTCTTAGGATGTAGCCCTTTTCTAGGGCCCTCGATTGAAAGTTTGAGAGTGTTTTGGGGACACGTCTACCAAAGCCCCTTTTCCTTGGCAGGCCTTAAACTCCAACCTCGGTTCTATCAAAAATCTCTACTTAGCAACTTCTTTTCATGTTGTCTCTTAGTTCCAAGTCACATGTGCACTGTTCAGGAATTAGCAAGTGCCAAGAGGACAAATTGCATGCAGAATGTAGGACTCCCTTCTCTGTGGACTCTTGGCCCATAGAAAGGCTGCTTTGGTGACACTGGTTTCCAGTCTTTGTTCTCCCTATACTGAAACTGCCATGAAATGTAAAATGTAGCCTATAGCTTCCTGTCCAGGCCTTGTACCTTGAGATACAAATAAGCAAATTGTCTGAAAGGAAACGCTGCAGAGAGAGCCAGATAACTTCATAGCATTTATCTTTACTCCTCAATCCTGGCTGTTTAGATTGTACCCTAATGCCTTCAGACCATCTTTCAGTTTCCTTGCTTGCTTATTTATATTTGCTATTTTATTCAGCTTGCATAGTTCTCTGAGAGAATTTCCGCCTTATACCTTCTGCTGGGCTGTGGCTAGAAGTGCAAGTCTTGAAATCCTGCATTTGAAATCTTGCAGCCTCAGAACAGCTTTCCTGGCTTAGCCTCTTCACAGCCATCTGTTCTGCCTACCCACTTCTCATCCTAGATGTTCCTCACACCCTTCCTGCTGCCCCTCTGCCCCCAGTCTTCTTCATTTCCACCCAAACTCTAACTATTCCTTAGCTAGTAGTTTCTACTCTTCTAGGACACCATGATCCACAAATTCTACTTCTGTGAATTCACAGCACCAATTGAGTGGCCACAGTCTTGATGCTTTACATAATAGGAAATACTCTGCATTTTGCTTTTATCCAGTTAGGTGAGGGCAGGGACCTTGTGGTAATACCCCTCACTATTCAGTTTGATATGCTGCATATCTTGCAGGATAAAGCATCTTCTGCCAACGTAGAACCTGACCAAACAGCAGAGATCAGTGAGCAAGATGTTTTGGAAAGAAACCAGGAAACCATGAAAGCCATTCTGCAAGCATATCATTTTACAGGTATAATATTTCCTGGCCTGAACTCATCCTGAGTCCCTGTCTCTAGTGAATTAGTGTGCTACATGTGTTTTAATCCTGGACTAGTTCCTGAGAATTTGTTTTGTAGTCCCTTCTTGCATCATACACACACATAGAAAGCTGGCATGTTGTTTAACAGGCACGTTTACCTGTAAGATTGGTTTCTTTGTACAGATTGAGACCATTCATTTTAGCAAGTCATCATGTGCCAGACCCTATACTTGAATTTTCTTTACTGTTAGCCTGCTTTGTGCTGTTGGTCATGATAATTTGAATTCCTTATATCTCTGTTTCAGCATAGATGGGGATTTATTCTCCCATTTATGATACAAGAGGATTGTGGGAAGAATGGGGTTATCACAAATTATTTGACACTCATGAAAAAAAGAAAAGGCTGGGCTGGGGATGGGGCTCAAGCGGTAGCGCGCTCGCCTGGCACGCATGCGGCCCGGGTTCGATCCTCAGCACCACATACAAACAAAGGTGTTGTGTCCGCCAATAACTAAAAAATAAATGTTAAAAAAAAAAAGAAAGAAAAGAAAAGGTAACATGGGTATATAGCTCAGTAAGACAGCTCTTGTCTAGCATGTTCAAGGTCCTGGGTTTTTTCCCTAGTATCATCCAAAAAAAGAAAGAAAATTTCCAGAAATTTTCCTGAATAGTTTGATATTTAGTGTGTCTGGGGCACTGAGTTGCCCAAGCTGGCTTTGAATATTCATGATTCTCTTGCCTTAGTCTCCCCAGTTGCTGGGATTATAGGCATGCACCCTCACACCTTTTCCTTCCCACTCTTCCATGATTTTTACAACTCAGTCTTAATATGAGCCAGAATCAAGGGGAGGAGCTGCTGATATTTATTCATTCAAGAAGCATTTGGGCACATATTCCAGGCTTGTTCAAGCTACCAGTATGTTCATATGAATAAGGTACTACCTTTGCCAGCATCTGTTGATTGGTATTGCCTTATGTTTGCTTCAGGGCTCAGTGGAAAAGTGACCAGCCGTGGAGCCTGTGTCTGTATCAGCACTGCTTTTGAGGGGAACCTACTAGATTCCTATTTTGTGGACCTTGTCATACAGAAGCCACTCCGAATCCATCATCATTCCATCCCAGTATTCATTCCTTTAGAAAAAATTGCTGCAAAATACTTACAGACTGATATTCAGCAGTTCCTGTTCAGTCTGTGTGAATACCTAAACGCTTATTCTGGGAGGAAGTACCAGGCAGATCAACTTCAGGTATTTGTCTAGGATCCTATATACTTCATTTTATGGACTGAGATAAACTGAAAAGGAATACAAAAGGACAGGTTCTCTTTTGTATTTTAAATATTTCTTAACTCCGAGCCAGAAGTTTGTTCATTACCTTTCTGATACTTAAAAATATACAAGCTAGGGCTGGGGCTGTAGCTCAGTGGCAGAGTGCTTGCCTAGCATACGTGAGGCACTGGATTCAATTCTCTCTTTTTTTTTTTTTTTTTTTTTAAAGAGAGAGTGAGAGAGGAGAGAGAGAGAATTTTTTTTTTTAATATTTATTTTTTAGTTCTCGGCGGACACAACATCTTTTGTTGGATTCAATTCTCAGCACTGCATATAAATAAATGAATAAAATAAAGTTCCATCAATAACTAAAAAACTTTAAGAAAAAAAATGTACAAGCTATTTTTCACCCCTTTTTTCTTACTCTCTTAAAACTTGGATGATGATGCACTCTGGTGGTTGTTCTCAAACTTTTTAACACAAGATAGTGGAAATGATTGCTGTACTTTTAATTCAGCCAGAATTTGCAGAGTACCTGACTGAGCCTTGAATATAGATGCATAATACCATAGAGGAATGCGATCCATCTTCCTGAGTTCTGGCCTATCTTCTAAGAATGGCAGTTGAGCTAAGTTTGAGGTGAAAAACAGATGGGAAATGGATGCAAATAGGAAATAGGTGACTCTTTTAAATTTTGCATTTCCCCCACCTATGCATTTGGAATGAGTCTGAAACTCTCACTTGTCAGTTAAACTTAACTTGATATGTGATTGTAGACATGAAATGTCTTAACTAAATACAGTAATGTCAGTGAAATTCTTGGCAGAAATGGTATCTCCTCTTCACCCACAGCCATGGTCATTTACTTAGAAAGTGCTTCCTGTGGGCCTTGCACACTTGCAAGGCTGCCACAGTCTCTCAGTGACTTTCTTTTTCTTTTTTTTTTTTTTTTTAATGACAGGCAACTTGCCATTTCCTTGGCTGGTCTCAAAGGGTGTGTCGCTCTTAAGTGATATTTCTGCCTCAGCCTCCCGAGTAGCTGGGAGTAACTGTACTTGGCTTCTTTATCTTATGTATGTCTTTCATTAGTCTTTTTTTTTTTTTTTAAGCAGTTTTCTGTTCATTTGTTTTTCTGAAATTTAATGAATGGGTCCTCTTTTGGTAGATACCTTTGAGGTATCACAACTGCCTGTGGAGCAGCAATCCTCATACACTTCCTTTGTTCCTCGCCTTACTAGAGTGACTTCGCAGCCCTTCTGACTGGGCCCTTGCAGAGAAACTCCCTGTGCAACTTGCTGTCATTTACTTATAAAGTGGATCTAGGGGATCAGTCCTTCCCTTTTTGTGCCAGATTGCTATATAAGGACCTCACAAGAACACTTCCAACTGATGTCACCGTTACATATCAAGGTATGAGGAAAGATATCTCACTGAAGAAATATAATATGCTGAGGTTTATTCAAGTTGATACAGGTAGAATACATTAAGTGGACCCCTTGAGACATTTTCTTCTGTTTGCATACTATAAGTTTACTCAGTAAGATACAAAGAATGTTTTATTTTTATCATTTTTTTCCTTTCTGCTTTGAAAATGGCATATATAATTATACTAGTTTTCCTCCTCCTTGCCACACCCAACGCAGCCCATGTTCTTATTTTCATGGGAGACCCCTTGAAGAAAGACTGAATCATAGGGTCATCTATGGTGAATGGAGCCAAAAGACTCATTTTACTGTGAAGCCAATTAGGTGTGACAAGTCAGTATACACTTGACTCTCTCGAGTATTCTTTAAATCAGAATTTTTTTAGCGTTGGCCAAAAGAAACTGTGTGTGTGAGCTTATACCAGTTGAATGTACCATAACAATGTGACATATGCAATAATGAAAAATTGTGTAAAATGTATTTAGGAAGCAGAAAGTTTGAAAGTGCCATGAGTTTCACACCATAGGTTTTATTTCTGTGGGCAGAGTCTGTTTTAAATCTCTGGTCTCAAAATTACATTGGCTCAATAGGAGGCAGATTCTCTCAGCTCCCAACCAAAAAAGTGCAGAGGTTCAGAATAGTAGTAATCTAGGTTGTGATTTCCCTAGTTGCAACTAGATGAGATTGATATAATCTCTTTTCTTAGGAGTGGAAGCATTGTCTACTTCATGGGAAGAGCAGAGAGCATCTCATGAAACTCTGTTTTGTACGAAGCCCCTGCATCAAGTGTTTGCTTCATTTTCAAGAGGAGGAGAAAAGCTGGATTTGAGTCTGACCTAAAATATTGTTTCCGTTGGGAACACATTTGATGTGTAGTCCTAGAACTGAAAATTGAAAGGCTCTCACACTTTGCTGGGGGACCATCCTTACTCTAAGAATAGGCACCTGCTTCTTCATAGAATGACAAGGAACAAGTTTGAGTCCCATAGGCACTGGAATTCTTGGACAATTCTCCATGATTAATCACCCATTATGCTCAGGATCATCTCTTCCTCTGAGGTATTGATTTAATCATATATTTTAGCCTCAAGACCTTTTTGTGGGGTAATAGGACATATTTTGTGAAAGACTAGGGAACATTTCGATCTTTTGTGGGAGCGTCAAGTAATTTTGCCCTCATTTTCCTAAGACTTTGAAAAGAAAGTTCTTAGGACACTCTAGATATGGAATACATCATATAGGTAAGAAGGGAAGTGTGTTCAATCTTTGATTTGGAACAGTGGTCACTGTTTTATAAGGAATATGATGTGCCAGAGTACTATAGATAAAATAATTGGGGTTTCGTGTCTAATATTTTGTTTCTTAAAGCATTTTAGTAGAGAGCTGAATGCATAATCACTGTGGGGGAAAAAAAAAAAAACCTGTTGGAAATCTTGTAAATGGAAATGGACCCTCCTTTTTCATGTCTTCCTTCTCCTCTAGAAACTCCAGGCCCCAGCTGCGTAATCTCACTCTCCATCTTCAGGGCCTTTCAGTGTGTTGTTTCTCCCTATAACTGTGGGCCTCTGATGTGCTGGTACTTACTTTTTCCTGGCTTAGGGCCAGTTGACAGCTGTGGAAACCTGAGTCTGGCTGATCAGGGTCTCCCATCTCAATTCTTATCCCTCCTTTGCCCAGTTACAGATAGTAGGTGTTACTTCCTGAGGCCCAGAGCTATAGTCAGGCTTCACTCTGAAATGGCCACTTCTTAGAACCTCATGAACTTGAGACACCTCTGTGTGTTTAAGAATAAAAGAGGGGTTCTGGTTGTGGCTCTACGGCAGAGCACTTGGCCTAGCCCGTGTGAGGCATTGCGTTCAATCCTCAGTACCATATAAAAATAAATAAAGGTACTGTGTTCATCTACAACTAAAAATTAAAAATCAAAAGACAGAGATGTTTCCATTCAAGTTCTTCTAAGCATTTGGTTGGGCTGGCAAAGCACTTAGCAGGGTGCATTAACAGAATCTCCACAATGATTCCATTCAAGTTGAGTAAAGCTTTTAATAAAACAGTCTTGTTCTTTATCAATACCTGTAAATTCTCTTTTAAAGCAGTAGCAAAGGCGACTGTAGCAAGAGCTCAAAAGGCAAGGCAATATTGGAAAGTATTTTTTAACAGATTAAAAATATAAATGTAGAAGATCTGTTTATATATTTTTCTTTCAGAAATAACCCCCCCTCCCCCTACCAGGTGAAAGGAAATATTGCACTTTCTGCTCTCATAACTAAGGTGATGGGGGTTCCAGAAGAACCTTTCAAGATTACCAGGAACATCAGGACAAGGGCCATTTAACCTAACTGGGACCATATGAAGACAGTCGGGTCTCCGTGGGAGCTCTCTTCACAATGAAAGCACTGTTGTCAGGTTCCAGCAGAAGTGGAGCATTCTCCAGCAGTATCTAACTCTGCCAAGCCCTACTCTTTTTAGCAAAGCTCCTATTCCTGTGCTCCCAGCCCAGTGGTAAAGGCAGCTTCATTCCACCTCTGCTGAATTCTTACTCACAGTGGCCATGGCCTCTCTGGGGGAAGAAGGGCTGAGTTGGAACTAGGGCTCTGGAAGGACTCTCCGAGTACTACGCCTAAGACTCCTACTCTGGGGAAGCTACAGGCACACTGAAGAATAGTATGGCCACCCTCAGAGGTGACATATCCACAAACAAGTGAAGGCTTAACATTTTAAAGTCTATGGGAATGTGCACTTCAGTAATTCAGGAACATCAGGACGTGGTCATTGCCCTTTCCCAAGGCCTTTCTTCAATTCCAAAAGAAAGAAATTCTCCCTTTCCATGTGGGCTGTCATGGGAGCAGAGGCCATTCAGGAGTTGTCCACCACCTGGTGGGGCAGTGTAACAGAGGAGCCATTGGGGAAGGCAGCTGGCTTATCCTTCCCCTTCAAGAAAAAGGTCAGAAGCTCGCCCTTCCCTTTCACAAAGATGGGACCTCGTCTCACAAAGCGGAAGCCGTACTCTCGGAGGATGACCTGTGTTTCTTCTACTACCTGCACATGAAGGAGAAAGTAAGAGAGCTTGGGGTTAGAGAGGGAGCCTAGACTGTGCTGGGTTTAGAGGCCTGGGCTGAAAACGGATCCACATGTACTATCTATACTCATGTGACCATTAGGTCCCAGTCAGTGCTCATCTTTAATGTTCTATCCCAGACCCCCCAGAGAGCTCCAGGTGAAACCTGTGGAACTCGGGGCAACTGGTCCAAAGCCCTTCTCTCTCTAAGACAGCCGTAATCCTCTCTTCCAGTAGGACAGCCACAGGTCACCCATGTAGCAGACTACAGTCTGGGAATTTGTAACTCCCTGCTCTGTTCTCTGGGCTCCCAGTTCATAGATCTTTTCTTGCAGACCCAGGTGACAGACATCAGGATTGCCCCGGGGGGAGTTGCTGTCAGCACCAAATATCAGTTCATACCAGAGCACAAGCTCTTCTCAACTCAAACAGACCTATTTGTTGCAAGTGGACTGAACCATTTTCTTCCTTCTCTTGAGGCTTTAAAGGCCTCTCTTCCCATGCATGACCTTCACCTCACAGCTTTGCCAGCTTAGCATTCTGGGCCAGCAACAGGAGGCAGTGGTGCACAGCATTCCCTGTGCTGTTTTTCTCCTATACCTGAGCATGCTGAACATACCTGAATGTTGCCCATGACCCCTGTGGACTCCATTCTGCTGGCCACATTGACTGTGTTGCCCCATATGTCATAGTGTGGTTTCCGGGCTCCAATGACCCCAGCCAGAACCCCTCCTTTGTTCATGCCTGGAGTAGGAGGCATAAAGTTCAGCACAACCACATGCCAACCTTGGCATTATCCTCCCTCAGAAGCCACCAGTTCCTGTTTTATAAAAATTTTTACCTGACTCCCACCACAAAAGCTCTTGAATATGTAATACCTTTATTGTTGAAGTCATCTTTAAGCTACTAGAAGACAGAACCATGTCTCCTAATTATCCTGTCCTCACCAAGTCCATGGCAAATGTTAACTGCCCCCAATATGCCAAGTGATCTAATCAGTGCAGTACTGGCCAGCTTCTAACATAGCTAGTACTTCAGGGCTCTGCAACTTCATCTAGGAGTGAGACCCTCTCAGTAGGTAATGGCATGTGACATTAACTCCTTTCAAAAGACAATCCACTCTTGAGGAGAGTCCTTAGCAGTCTCAGAAACACCCTAAAAGTTAAGATAACAGACCCACTTCCTGGGCATGTCAGAAGGAATGCTGGATTATGAGTATGTCATAAGGACAGGTCTAGCTCAACCATTTCATCGTTCAGGTTTTCTTTCTTTTTTTTTAATATTTATTTTTTAGTTGTAGTTGGACTCAGTATCTTTATTTTTATGTGGTGCTAAGGATCAAACCCAGGGCCTCGCATGTGCTAGGCAAGTGCTCTACCGCTGAGCCACAACCTCAGCCCTCATTCGGGTTTTCAATTTGAAGAGACTGGGCTAAAGATCCTTCAAATCCTCTCTAGCTCTGTGAGTCTGTGACCTCCCCACCCTAACTACTTTTGGTCTTCCTGAGCCTCTGGTATTTTTCTGCTGATATCCCCAGCACCAGACAGCCAGGGCAGGTGAGCTGGATCCCTTACCTATGCGCAGCATGAAGTTGTTGAAGGACTGATTGTTGATGTTTGTAAGTGTATCCTTCATGGCTAGTGCAAAGTCGGCCAGGTCAGCCAGGTGCTGCCAGCGCTCCTTGTCTGACTTTTCCTCCTGTGACAAGCAGTGGTGAAAGCGTCAGGAGCCACCCAGGCTCTCACTGGGGCAGCCTGCTCTCCTGTTTCCTTCCTACAGCAGCATTTACAAGGGAAGAGGTCTCTACATCTACTTGTTGGTGGCCTTTCCTACGTCCTGGAGTCTGCTGCAGCATATTGCTATGACAAGAGTTCATACAGGTTCCTCTAGCATTATCCTCCCTCAGAAGCCACCAGTTCACTAGGACAAGACTGGCCATAGTAATGGGGGAGACAGACTCTACCCAACTCAGTTGCTTCCTGTCATCTACCTGATCACGACCCAGATCTCCACCACCCTAAGCCTGGTCTTCAGGTTTTGGGGTTTTTTGTTTGTTTGTTTGTTTTTGGCACTGGGGATTGAACTCAGGGGCACTCAACCACTGAGCCACATCCCCAGCCCTATTTTGTATTTCATTGAGAGACAGGGTCTCACTGAGTTGCTTAGCGCCTCACCATTGCTGAGGCTGCCTTTGAACTTGCAATTCTCCTGCCTCAGCCTCCAAGCTATTGGGATTATAGGCATGTGCCACCGTGCCCAGCTTTTGTGTAGTGATTTTTGTCTGGATTCCTCAACTAGATTATAAATACTTTAGGGTGATGACCTACCTTCCACCTGCTTTGTTAATCTCATCCAGAAAGTAGAGATGGCAGTAGTACTGACATGGTTGTAAAGGTAGAACAGGGTAATGTTTTAAGGACAGTGCCTGACACAAGGGTTCTACAGGTCTGCATTAGCTTAGCAGAGAGCAGGCAGATAGCCAGTGAGTTCCCAGATCTTCCTTTTAAAGTTTCCATTGTTACAGAATTGCACAGGTTGCTCCTGCTCCCCAGTTATTATGAAAGTATGTATCCTAAAGAGGGCATAGTCACAATGTGCACAAACTATCTTAGGCATACGCTGTAGAACTATAATGGGGATTTGTGTGTGTTCTTTTTCTTGGCTTTCTCAGTAAACTCTCTTATATCTGCACTGCATGTGCAGTATGTGTCTGGGAACCCTTTGTACAACAGTACTCAGTAACTTTTTGTTATACTTCTCATTTCCTACATGCTGGGTCTCTTTTCCCCAGGTAGAAGCCTTATCTCCTCTATAGACAGTTACCTACCTAACAAGCTTATTTACCTTATTGGAGCTGGAAAAGCCATTAGTGTTGACATCTGGGGTGACTCCTGAAGCTGCCATATAGGTGCTGCCAATGGTTTTGATCTTGGTGATGACCCGGAATTTGGGATTGTCAAGGAGCTGTGGCCAGGTTTAAGGAAAAAGAATTGTCAGTAGAATCAAGGGAGATGAATGAACCAACTAACAGGCTCCCATTTACAAGACTCACAAAGCATTCAGGAGATGCCAAAGTGCACACTTAGCAAACTACCCGACTTTCTGAGCCTCAGTTTTCACAATCCTAATACTGAGATAAAATTACTAGTCTCCTAGGGTATTTGAGCATGTATATAAAAGCATTTTCCCTGGTGTACAAGTTACTCAATAAATGTTTACTGAATGTGAGTGTGAGGGAAGAATCGGGCCTCAGGATTATTGGCTAGTCCTTATTTCTCAGGCTCCCATCTCACCCCTGAGACCCAGCAGTTCCAAATAGTTGCAGAAGTCCTTATGGGAAAGGGTTTGTCTGGGAAAATGTAGCCAGGCTAGGTTAATTCAGTTCTCTGTCCTGGGATGGGCTAGCTCTGATTGAAGGGGTAGGAAGGCACTCACTGAATCGAAATCGGAGATGATCTCGTTGAGGAAGCGTAGACACTCGATACCACCATTATTGATGCTCTCTTCAGTATAGAAGTCAGCAAAGTTGGGCAGGGAGGCGAACATAACTCCAATCTCATCATAAGACTGGCTGTATAACTCCTAAAAGGAGACAGGGTCCAAGAGCTCAAAGGATGGCTGCCCAATGGGGTGATGTGCTAAGAAAACAAATCTGTCTTCTCCTACACACAGTGTACACTCAACTTTTTGAACTCAGACATCTCTCCAGTTATCCTAACTTGGTTGGAAAATAGCTCATCACAATTTTGAATAAATGAAAAATAGTTTTCCTAGCTCCTGTAACAGCCTAGCTGTGAGAAAGAGGGTTTTGTGGAAATGGGAACCACTCTGTTTTTATAAGATCACAACAACAGAAAGCAGGACTCTGGCCAGGCCTTGTCTTCTGAAATGGGGCCTCAGAGATATGACCTACATGCACAATATCTACAATAGTGCCTTTTATAAGAGGCCTAGGAAACTCTTTTGTGTTGATATTGTTGCTGGTCAGGCTCAATTCCACCTGAGACCCAAACCACCATGTGAAGACCTGCGCCCAGAGGGCTCTCTGGAAGGAAGAGCACATGGCCTCCAGACCATGTTCTCACCTCATCTCTCTTCTTAGAACCCAGAAAATGGCGAGCGACATGCTCAGGCAACATGTTGGTGACCAAGGCCTCGTTCCAGCGTCGCATCTCATAGACACGTTCCTTTTGGTCATGGACTTCAATCTTCCACAGGAATAGTGTCCGTGCCAGTTTTTCCACCTACAGACCCAGATAGGCAAGATATGTGCTCTAAAAGCTAGCTAGGTGATGGAAAGATAAAGAGTGGGGCCTCAATGGAGGGGTTCCCTTGGGAAAAATGAAGGAAGACGGCTAAGTGGCAAAGGACGTAGACCCTGAGAGGACTCATAATCAAAAAGGCTGTCCCACAACTGAAGTATGGATCCTGGCCTCTTTGATTACAGCCGAGATCCAAGAGGCCTTTCCTATGTGTGAGGACTCCTGAGACCTAATTTTAGCTGCAGGTTTGTCATAGGCAGGTGGAGGTGGGAGGGTTGGGGGGAATCTCCCAGCTCAGGGTGTAGTCCCCTTTTCCAGAAGCTCCACTTGTCTGAGAAGTGGCTTAGGAAGACTGTCCTTTCCTTGGCAAACCACTGGCGGCACCTGAGCTAACATGGATTCCTTGTGTGGATATCTCCCTGCCCTGTCTTTCTTCTTTTTATTTTATCCTTTTAACCCCAAACTTCATGAGATCCCTTTCCTTTCTCTTCTGGCTCTGTGATCAGTGCATTAGTGACCCCCTCCCCTTGCCACATGCCAGGGTGAATACAGAAACCGTGAGTCCCAGCCTAGGGACTGGACCTTATCCAGGCCTTTGTGTTAGCACGTCACCCTCCCCCAGCCCCCATGCTCCTTTAACTCCCTGGAGGAGGTCAGAAGAAGTAAAGAACTGTTCTTGTATTGCTGAGGAAGAAACCAGAATAGGGAGAAGGCAGTGGCTTGCCAAGGGCCACAGGTAAGGCTGGGTCTAGGAAGGGTTCTAGGATCCTGGAACTGCCTTTTGGGAGGCTCTGATGGATTTGGCCAGTAGGACAGAGAGTGTGTAGGTACTCACGTGGCGGGAGAAGTAGTAAAAGCTCAACATCATGATGATGATCATCACTGTCATTGAGTACTTAGAAGGCACCAGCGGCAGCCTGCCAGGCATACAGAATACAACTGAAAGCACCCATGCTGCCTTCCTGTAAGGAACTTTCGTTCCCTCTACCTGGGTTTTATTGGTTCCTATCATCCTGAGCCTTGGAAGTTACCCCCACCACTATACTCCTTTACATGAAGTCCTTACCTCCTGAGGCAGCAGAACTTCCCTAGGCCATTGGACTTCTAATAGTCAGCCAGGGCCTTGCTACACTGGGTGTTTACATCAGGGCTACTCCCCAGAGAGTACTTCCTGATCACAGAAGCTGTTAGAACCATGTAAGGAGTCTGGAGAAGGGAAGAGACTAATATCACAGTAGTGGGACCAGGGCCCAATCTTACCATGGCTTTTTCTAACTTTCATCCTTGTTTTTGTGTGGCACTATATTTAATTTCCATTACTGAACGGTACTCTACTGTATGAAGCACCACACAACTTATGTGCCTTTGAAAGGTTGAGATCCCAGGATACTGGCTTCTTATATTCCCTGTCTCTAGAAGAAAGACCACAGATGCAGAGACCAAGGAGGGGAACACAGTAGCACTTACCTGTCAGTGTCATTGAGCCCAGGGGTAGAAAATACCTGCATCTTCTCTAAGGCCACCAAAGGAAAGCTGTGAGGCAGATAAGAGCACATTCAGGTTGTATCTTTGAACAACAGGTTGATGCCCAGTCTTAAATCAAGATGGAGAGGACCTGTTCCCAGATCATAGCCAGCCAGTGACATGTCTGAGAAACCACAAACCCTGGTTCCCATATAAGCCTTTGATGGGCCCCAGAGGCAGAATGCCACCTTAGTGCAGGCCCATGACCTTGAAATGGAGACTTGGGGTAGAAGGAAGGAGACCATGCAGATCCCCAATCAAGCTTCATCTTACTCATGTTCCTGAAAGCGTTTGTGGTCGTATTCATCAAAGATGGGGCACCAGGCATAGAGGTTGATGGCGGCCACTGCACCCGTGACGAGCAGCATGAGTGTGAGCTTCACCATATGGCTGACCTGCACCAGCATGATGGTGGCGATGAGGGATAGCACGGCAATGTAGTTGTAATACTTGGGGTTCTCCAGGCAGCCTCCCTCCAGCTCCATCCCTGCAGTTCCGTTGTAGGGTCCGGTGTAGTACTGGAGACAGCTAAGCTAGAGGCCAGGGTGATCAGGAGGGGAACAGGTGTACAAGGGAACAGCAGACACTGGTTAGAGAGGGCTATACCATGGCAGTGACCATTTCTCTGCCTCCTGCACCTTCCTCAGAGAAGGATGGGGGAAATGACCAGGGAATAATACAAAATTATTATTTGCTAAGAGTTTTACCATATGTCTCATTTGATGTTCAGAAAAACTCACTTGTGTTTTTAGTATTGTCCCTATTGCATAGAAAGCTTAGAGGCTGGACTTGGGCAAAGCTGCATAATTAGCAAGCAATAAAGTGAACCAGGAGCCAGGTCCTTAGGCTTCCAATCCAGCATGTTCTTCAAACCACACTGTCACTGCAGGAGGGGCTATGACCAGTCGGCCTCTACTACCACTTCCCTATGGTGACAGCAAATCTCTGCCCAAACTGCCCTCTAGATCACTACCTTCGCTGGATTCATTGCTGTGCAGATGTGATCAACAGAAAGTATAGCCATCAACTGGAGAAAAAAGTAAAATTATGTGATTGTGTGTGTGTGTAACTTCCAGCTCATCTGGCTTCAGGCAAGGTCTTGGCATATAATTCTAGCACATGCAGTATTATCACCTCAACCCATTTGTTTTTACCCCACCAAGCAGTGATCTCCAGATATTCTGCAGGGCATCCGTGACCCTGTTAAACTGTAGGCCCCAGATGTGGGCACCAGCCTCAGGTGTATTCTGACATGCAGGAGGTTAGGGGCCTTTCCCTGTGTGGTAGGCATTGCAGCTCATGGGTGTGGTCGGCTCTGGAGCATGTAACTAATCAGACTTCTGATTGATGGTTGCAGCCCTAGAGCTTTTTCACTTACACTACTGCCAGAATCAGTCTTCATGCTGATTTCATTGCTATACTTAAATTGTTAAAATCCGGCAAGTAATATGACGGCATGATACTTGAAGAAAGGACTTTTTAAAAGAGAGTGCATATGGTACTACCACAATCAGAGGAAGCTGTGACAACTGACAAGAGAACATCATGATAGCTCTAAGCACTCAAGGCTCAATAAATGCCTGGTGGCTCTAAATCAATAGATCTGAGTTTCCAACTCTTGTCCCTTCTTCCTAGGAAAGCATCTGGCTGCCCACTCACAGAACCCCCAGTTCTTTATGAACTGAGGAGAACAGAAGATGTTTTGTCTTCCAGCCATCTGGGCCCTGTAAAGCTGCTGTTCCTACTGTCTCACCTTTCTAGGAAGTTCTGGCCATGTTCAGAAGGTAAACAGGAGCTCCTTTGGTGAAACAGGTTTACCTCCCTGGCCTGGATGGATGGTTGACACTAGCCCACACTGTAAGGACTGTTTCATATGGACAGAATGCTTATGTATATTGCACTCTT